TATATGTTTTACAATATTGATTAAGAGATGCATTTAAGGAAAAATAAAATTAAGATAGAAAATCCATTAATGCTGCTAAATTTATAAAGAATGAAAATTATATTAAATGGCATTCCAAATAAGTGTGTACTAGTTAATTTGGAAGATTTTTATTTATAAATATGTAATTATTATTTATATAAATTTTTATAAAAATATATGCAAATTGTAAAAACATTTCAATAACATATCTGTCAAATTAGTTAAAGTATTGTTTTCTATGAAATCCTGGAATATTTATAATATCTGATCTGCTAGCTAAGTATTTAACCCTATAATAATAATCATGGATAATTATATCATCATAATTTCCTTAAATTCATTGAAGAACTTATTAATTTAATAACAGAAATATAAATTAATATATTTAGATCAAATAATGATGCTTAATTAATTAAAAATTATATATAAAAAGTGTACACGTTTAGTAAATTCCAGGGGCTAGTCTTTACAATCTAAGAGGCCCAAAATTTTTATTAAAATTATTTTCAAAAGTAACTTTTTTTATAGCTAACATGATCTAAAATTACCTTTCTTTTTTTTAGCTAACTTACCTATTTTTTTTGTGGTATAAAAAATAAAATCCAAAATTTTGAGGGGGCTCTTCAAATTAGGGGGTTCAAGTCAGTGTTGTTAAACGCTACTTTTAAAAGTAGCGCGCTATCGCTATTGCTATCGTTTTCAAATAAGTAGCGCGCTATTAGCTACTTTTTACGCTATTTTGATTTTTTTTTAAAATATTTTTTACGTAACTTTATTTCCATAAATAAAATATTGGTATAAAAACATGACTATAATTTGTTACTGTTGATTGATTGATTTTTTTATTTAACTTAAATTGTTATTATAGCCTTAAAATATATATTTCGTTTAAATTGTTTTTTTTAATACATATATATATACCTTATTTTATATTTATTTTTGGTATCATTTTTTAGTTCTAGAATAAAATAATTATAACTTACTTACCATCGTTATTGTTATATAACTGTTACATATATTATTTATTATTGCACTTTAATAATAATAACATTTCGGTACTGTCATCCCCAAGTCTAGAGCAACGATCAGAAATTATTTGCTATACTAAATAATCTTTCAGCACTAGCACTTTAGGGCAACGCAGTATTAAATTTAATAAAGATATTTTTTATATTAAAAAAATCATCAAAAATATTTAATTGAGTATTTTTAGATTTAAAAAAAGCATCTAGAGGTTCAATAATATTATTATTATTTATTTCAAAAAAATCGTCTATGGAAGGCCGCGGTTTCGATCGATACTATAGTATTAGTATCGTGGTTAGCATGACATTTTTTAACGTTACCATCAGCCTATCAAGTTGCCCTTTAGATTCAGTCAAAGTAATGTGTGGCCAATTTAACTTGAAACTAGGATGAACGATAGCAGCTATTACATTATCATCATCATACAGATCTGGAAAACTAATTTATATAAAGCGATTGTAATTATTATAAAAAAAAAGAAGAATACCTTTTTAATTTTCAAAATTTAAATTTATCTGAGATTTAGATTCATTTATAAAAAAATATTAAAATAGCATTAAATTATGGTAAATAAAGATTTTAAAAATATAATTATTATACACAAGGTAATTAATAATATATTAATTTTGAATTTTATATTAATACTATATATTAATATTATAGATTGCGTTGTAAATTAAGCCAATTTAAATTATGGCTAATCTAGCAATAAATTATTCATTTTATATAATTGTATAATAGAAAATAAAAATAAAGTTTTGACCTTTTCTCAATGCATTTTAGCATAGACTCTACCAGTGGTTGGCAAAATTTTAGATTATTGATTCTTTTGAGCTTGGTAATTAATATACTCAGTGTGGGAACATAATATCCCATGCTCATATTATCTTTCCCTTCCAAGATTTTAAGTGAGGATTTAGTAAGACATATGGATTTCTGAAATAATATTTGTTAGAATGTCATAAGCCTGACAACCAATTATTCTTTTTAGAGCTAATGCTACAGATTTTCGTTTTAGACTTTTTGGATCAATCCAATGTGCGGTCACTCCTAAATAAGCTCTAAAAATATGAATCATATTATAAATCAGAAAATAAACATTTTTACCTTCTATTGTGCGTCCAGCAATCTTGTTGTACAGATGTAGGAGACATATGATAGATTTAATATTAAAGATTCTTTCATTCTTTAAAGCTATCCAAAATTCTTTCCGTCAATACCTGCCATCAAAATATCTTGGTTCGTGGAGAAAAAGTGTTTATCATCTTTATAAAAGAACCAATATCCACCAAAGATAATGGTTGAACAGTCTCTATTATAAAGTTCATAATGACTTTGTCAGCCAATTTTTGACATACACCTGGTGTTGATGAATCCAAATTGCTTAATTTTGTTTGAATTAAATTTGATTTGGAAGTGGATGTATCTTCTTCCATTACCCCAAAACTTTTGAGATATTTTTCAATCTCTTTATAATTTGATGTGTGAACAGTCTAAAATTATAATAGTAATACTTAGAATAAATATTATGTAGGAGATAAGTACATAAAAATGATTGAAATAACTATTTTAAATAATTTAGATAAAATTTATGAATATATAAAAAAAGATGATTGGTCTTTGATTTAAATTTATAAAAATTAAGGATTAGCCTACACATTGATATTAAATTTGTTTAATATATTACCTTTAAATGTTTTGTCAAATTAAAGCTGTTTGTTTGATTTGAGGATAAAATTTTGCGACACATCTTGCATCAAAACCGATATCTGGTAATAATTTTTTCTTCAAGATTAAAGTATTTTTTGAATTTTGGGAAAGGATAATCTATATTTTTCTCATTTTCCAAAGAAATTTCGCTATCTTCAACAATCTCACATTTTTAATAACTAAATTTATAATGCTAACTAGATTTATAATGTATATTTTAAATATAAATTTAAATTTCAAAATAAAATAAAAGGATTATAATTTAGATTTAATAAAAAAATATATTTTAATAATTTTTAGATGTATTTATTATGTAAAATTGAAGCTACTTCGCTACTTTCTAAATTAGCTAAAAAAATAGCGCGCTAAAGCTACCGCTACTGAAAAAGTAGCGCGCTATTTTAAGAACACTGGTTCAAGCCCTTGCACCCCCTAGTGACCCTAATGGTAAACTACAAGAAATGATGAAATATCAAACTATTTTACCTTTTTTAGCTATATAACCCATACTAATACTTAAATGAGTAATTATGTTTCATCGGTTTAAAATTATTACATATTATAAAAAACAACTTGTTCACTTCATTAATAAATATCAAATTTTTGGAAATGGCCTTAGCCAATTAACCTGAAAAAAAACGTCATTTGTTTTAATAAAAACAATTTATAAAATAATTTTTGATGAAAGTTTGGTTACTCTTTTTGTTGATTTGTCTCGGGCATGTTCTCTTTTATCGAGAATAAATGATTTGGGTGAAAGTATTTTTTTTGCAAATTTAATTGACTGACATTTTATTTTATTTTTGTGACGCGTAAACGTTATTATAATGGATACAAGTTTTCCTGGAGGCCCTATTAGTTTAATGTTAGAAAAGCTAAATCGTATGCATTAAAAATATGTGGTGTTTGGAAGAATACTGCATCGCTGTATTTGTTTTATCTCGCTTTGAAAAAACGTTTTTTTTTTGGAAATGGCCTTAGCCAATTAACCTGGAAAAACGTCATTTGTTTTAATAAAAAAATTTATAAAATAATTTTTGAATGAAAGTTTGGTTACACTTTTATCAATTTCTTTTGGTGATTTGTCTCGAGCATGTTTTCTTTTTTCGTGAATAAATGATTTGGGTGAAAGTATTTTTTCTTGCAAATTTAATTAATTGTCATTTTATTATCTTCATTAAATTTTAGTGTCAAATCATTATTATAATGGATACAATTCCTGGAGGCCTTATTAAGAATATCGAATTTAAAATTTAGGGAGAAAAGAGGGAGCAATGAGTAGCATTTCTACCAATATTTCGTAATTTTATAGTTAAAAAAATTAAAATTTTGTACAAATTATATTTATACAGGTGCACCGTGCGAAACTTATTTAGCATATTTATTTTTTAAAACAAAGCAAAAAAAATATATAAAAAAATTCAATTTTCTTTATTCAAATTTTTTTTTCTCGTATATTATTTATAATTTTATGATCGAAATCGCGTAATATTTGAAAAATTTTTGATAAATTTGTTTTTATTTTATTCTATAAAAAGTTTTTGACCTGATTGCAATTTTATTCAATTATTCGATCAACATTTATTTTGATGTCATTCTCGGAATTCTTGTACAGTTGCGTAAATGTGACATTTTTCTTTGCCATTTTTTATCTTCCTATTATGTGAATCCGTTTTCATTCGAAATTTTCTCTTTATCCCGCTTATAAAAGAATAACAATATTATAGGGAATTGAAAGATTAAAAATAATAATTGAGAAAGATTTTTCTTAGGCCTAGTTTATAGTAAGCACGAAATTCCGCGATGAGTAATGTACAAAATAAATATGTGCCTTAAGAACGTTTAGTAATGAATTACTCGTCGCTTAAGCTATATAACGATATTCCGCACTTACTATAAGCGATACCTTATTTAAAACCTTTAATAAAAATTTTATCAATAATTTTTTTTTCAAATTTCGACAAAAAGGAGTTAAAGGGTTCAAAACCTGTTTCAAGAGTTTTAAAGCTTTTAAGAGTTTTATAACTTAATGATAAAGTTTTAAAAAAAATTACGAATCCCCAACCCGCTTATTAGCTGCAGGTTTTGGCCATATTTTTATTCTTTTTTTAAAAAAGAGGCTTATGTTAATTTTTCGAATTAAATTTTTTAACGTTTTGAATTTGAACACGTAAAGAAAAAATTAAATCATTTTAAAATTAAGTTTATTGGTAAATTGTTATGTTATAATCTCCTCTCCCAAGTTTATAATAGCTCTAACGGCCTCCCTTTCTCGCACTTCACAATGTAAACACAAACACAACGCCGACCTCTTTCCACTTGATTCCGATTATCCCGATCATGAGCATCGGAAATTTTTTGCCCAGAACGGCTTCAGGTTGCCCAGCATTATAGAACCAATCTTGTACAATGTAACCATAAGCCCCGAATGGACCAAGACTGGCAGCGCTAATTTTTTCAAAGGTTATTTAATGAACAAATTTTTATATAAAATTAATGATTTGGATAGCGGTCACAAGAAATATTTAACCCTAAAGTAATGGGGAGGGGTGGTTAGACTGGCTGTGTGATCAGAAGAATATTTGGCAGAAAAGTAACTTATAACCCGGTTTTAGACTCAAAGTATCCCATTTATCAAGTGATTTATACAACTTCTAAATCCGATAAAAGTCTGATACGTGTAACTCGTAAGCAAGGAATAAGTTTATTAAGAAATATAAATTGCTACAGATTTGTTCAGATTTTGGATGTATGTTTACAAAGATTAAACAAATTTAATCGAATATATTTTCAAAAAGGCCGGGTTTTTCTGACATTTCGCGCTTTGGCTAACTCCGACTTCTTAGTGCTTAACAACAAAGACCTACGTTTCACGCGCGTCGAACTAAATATCCTTCTACCGTCTGAGATACCTACAAGTTCATAATATTAAAAATATCATATTTCAATCATCTATTAAAATATTTGATATGCATTTACGAAAAAGAAATATCATATTAGATAAACCGTATAGAATATACGATATCCATTTTTTACCACCTAGTATGGCGAAATAAAATTTTACCCGACAAATATATTTATATTTTACGAATTAAATATATTTAATTTATCTTATCAGTTGATGCAAGGTTTGGTATCCCTGTAACCGGTCTAACCTACGATGACGAAGTTTACGAAATGGTTAAAATAGATCTGAAAAGCCGACACGAAAACATTTGGCAGAAATTCAATGATCCCAATCATATTGGGAAAAAGGAGGGAATCGAAGTGGGAACCAGCTATCTGCTAGACATTAGCTATTATGGGAACATTAGCAAGAATATGAATGGGCTTTATTCTAGTAGCTACACTGATTCTGTGGGCCAAGAGCAGTGAGAATGATATTATTTTTTTGTATATATAAAAATTTACTGGTAGATAGAATAAAATAATTTTGCCATTTTTTTTTAAACTTAGGGTAAGACCATACCAGGTCATACTAGCGTTCGAACGCATAGGGTTAAAATATATCAAGCCAAAAATCGAATGTTTTATAAATAATCCTTTTTTAAAAAAAAAATTTAAAATTATATCGTCTGCTTATTAGTTTTTATTTTATTAATTCCTAATAATTTCCGTATTTTAATATATATAATGAAACTACTCTATATTTCAGAGACCTTTAGGCCCGGTCCTAAGCCCGAACCAGATATACGTGCTGAGCCGTATTTTAATTTTCCTGTTCCAGATTTTAAAAACGAATATTTTAAATTGCCATTATTAGCTATAAAAATTAAAATACCGGGCCAAAATTTTTAAAAATAAAAAATCCTGGTCGGACCGTGTAAATGGTACCTCTTCTGGTCAGATATATTGAACGAATTATTTATTTTATAATGACCATCAAACACTATTTCTTAAACACTAGGACGCTATGGTATGGACTTTACGCTGAATTTATAGTAAGCGCGTTTTGTCCGAGCGGTGCGGTTTTTAACACTTTAAATCACAGCTATAAAATTTTTGAAATATACATCGCATCATATGTTATTCAAATTTTATCATAGCGTTATCATCATTTCGTCCCATATTTATAAATTATATCTATTTAGGCTTGATTTTATAAATAACGCAGCGTTAAATACCACAGTTTATCGTCGATTTTTTTAATGATAAAATGCGTTATTATGAAAAAACTTGCTGACAATTAATTATATATTTGAAACTCTAAGGCCTCTTTTAAGCGCCAAATACCGCTCTCAAACGACGTATAATTTGCAAAATACATGACGCTGAATTAAACATTTAGGCAATCGTTGCCAAATACGCATCGCTTGAGTGATGTCTCAGTATGAGCGATTATTATAAATTTGTAGCATTTTATTTCATAAAATATTATTTCAGACTTGTATCATTTCAAACCTAATGTATAAAATTAATCATATGTTAAATTAATTATTTACATGTTTGTACACTTTAAATTTTTTTAATGCTTATTTACGATGAAAAAAGGTTAATCATGTGGAAATCCGATGAATATATCGGAACAATTAATTAATAACAGAGTTCAGGCCAAAGAAACTTGGTTGCCATAAGTTAATAAAAAAGGAACATAAAATCAATTAAGAAAAGTGTAAATTAAGAAGGAATTAGTGGAAACGGATATTGAAAGAGTTAACGAGCTAAAAATTATGATAGTTTAAATTCGAAAAAAAAACAGATTGGAAAAATATAAATTTTAAAAATCTGGGCTAGGAAGTTAGGAAAAAGTTTATTATGGCATCATTTTAATTTTATTATTTAACTGAAGTGTTAATCTAATATATAGACATAATATACCTTATAAAAATTTGTTAAATGCTGTTTAAAAAAAATTTATTTTATGGTTAAACCTATTGTCTCCACATTTAAAGCTACTTACTCTCAACCCAATTCGAACCGAATTACGCCCGGCGGGCCTTTCCTTGTCTGGACGAACCCGCTTTTAAGGCACACTTCTCGATTTCCATGGACAGGCCCCGTGACTTGCTTTCGCTGTCTAACATGCCATTGCAGGCATCTCGACCCGTTGAACCCGAAAATGGTTTGGTCAGGGATTATTTTCAGCAATCCGTAAAAATGAGTACATACCTGGTAGCGTTCGTCATTTGTGATTTCAAAATGGTTTCCGGCAAAACCATATCAGGAACACTGGTATATATATGCAGTTATTGTATGTTCACGAAATTCCTTTATAAAATCTTCTCTTTTGTTTATTTACTTATCCACAGGAAAGAATGAACTGATTTTTTTCATGAAAGGCTTTTGAATAAAAACTTGCAATTAACAGCCCTTCCAACTATGTTATATTTTATTTTATATATTTAATGCTTATTAAATCGATGGATCATGAATAAATGATCGTTTCATTCGATTTTTTTTTCTATTCCTTTACAAAATACAGGTTGGCGTTCACGCGCCCGCCGAACAGATTGACCAAGCGATTTTCGCTAAAGACGTTGCTATAAAGGCCTTGGATTTCTACGAAAAATATTTTGATATTCCTTTCCCCTTGCCCAAGACAGGTTAATTAATATCAATTACTACATTATAAATCTTTAAATAGAAAAAAAATAAAAACTTTCAGCTTTCAAAAATGTTGTCAATTGTTATTTGGAGAGATTTATTTCATTTAAATAAAAAGGAGTTGTATTGTATGCTGCCTTATAAAGGTTTGAGTCTATCCTTTTCTTTAAATTAATCTATTCTTTCTCATTTCTTTCTCTTACACCAAATTTTCTAGTTTAATTCATCATTCTTTAAAAGAAAGCTCTTTTATGTGATCAAAAATTTAGGATAGGAAATTTATCTTCGATTTTCTGCTTGAATTTTCGATCCAGAAGTAGATTTAATTAGATGATCCCTATACTGGTATTATTTCTCTCTATTTTATATTGGGTAAATTGATATATGTTGGAAATGGATAAAACGCGATGGAAACCAAAAACAATATTAATGTGAAGAAGAAGGGCGTGCCATAAAATTGGCCTTGCCATTGGCGATTTTCTAGAACACGTAAAATGAAGAGTGGAGAGCAGCTGATCTACCCAGTAAGCTTGCAAAGAAGCCATTAAACGATGAGGAAAAATCTGATTATGAATATTCATCATTTTGAACAATTTCTACCTTCCCTATTTATTAATACATCCCTTGACTTTTTTTAGACAATCGAATATTATGAAATTATAAAATATGTTGTAAAAAAGATATTATGTCGTTGTGCTCTTTCTGTAAACTATATAATATTTATTATTCTAATAATTTATTTAAGATTTAATTGGCATTCCCGATTTTTCTGCTGGTGCCATGGAAAACTGGGGTCTTATAACTTATCGAATGGTCGATTTACTTTATAAACCGAATGTAACGTCTGAAAGTCAGAAAGAACGGGTCGCTATTGTCATAACTCACGAATTGGCTCATCAAGTGACAATATAAATTGATTTAAGATAAAATCTATTTAAAAAATAATGGTTTCCAAGTTGCTTTTTAAAAATAGAATTTAGAATTATTAACAAAAATGTTTCGAGCTAGGACGTGACTTTAATATTTAATTTTCCCCTACCAATTTTACATAAATTTAAAGGTTATTCATTTTATATAAAATTTAATTTAAAAAAAAATTAAACCAAGTGTGGAATTTTTAGTTTTTTTTTCTTGTTAATTCAAAGAAACGCGAAACAGGTTTTCCTAATAGGCAATATTTTGTCGAACTAATTTGCAACATTTTTATATTTTAAATTCAATTAAAAACAATTTATAATTCATTATTTAATTACAGATCGTCGGCTGAGTTTTATAGTGTTCTAAATCAACTTTTATTTGCAAAATATTTGTTTTTTTTAATGAATGAATTCTTCAGGACTAGATATAAATTATATTTAGCATAATTTTTTAATATAAAATATGCTATTTGGTGAACACGAAGATCAAACAAAGGTTCAGACCATTCCATAATCCAAAATTTATTTTTTAAAAAAGTGGTCAGCTATTTAAATCTTCGAGTTTAGAAACCAAATGGAATATAGTTATTTAATCCCAAAATCTATCTGGCTAAATTTTATTTGAATGTAGCTGGCCTCTTTTTTAAAAATTTGTTCTTCGGATTGTAGAGCCCTCTAAACTGGCCGGTTGACCTTTTAAATATTGATGAATATTATATATATTTTCATTGAAGTAGTATGGCAATTTGGGTTTGGTTGGAAATATCTATTATTTTTTTCTTCTGCAACTCTTCAGTGGTTCGGCAACCTGGTAACAATGTCTTGGTGGGACGACCTTTGGCTCAACGAGGGATTTGCCACTTATATGGAGTACGTGTGCGCAGGCGCAATCTTCCCTGAATGGCAAATGCTCGATAAGTACGCCCCAGACACAGCACCTACAGGTTTTTTTTCTTGCCCGTTCTTTATTTTCTTAGATTTTATTATCTATAAATCACAACATATAGAAACCATTGAATTAATTTACCGATGGGAAAGGCTTACCAGTATCATCGATTTTCTATTTAGAGATCTGCAATGGGCGGGCTTTTTTTAAAAATCTTTTTACGCCCCCCCCCCCACCAACTTATAATTTTTTTAAAATAATTAACCGCCCGCCCATTTATCTATAAATTTTGTTTAACCCGCCCGCTCCCTAATGTTTAAAAATTATTTTAATGACTGGTTTAGCTCTTTATTTGTTTTGTTTAAACATACATAATATGCAATATTATAAGATAAAACTATTAATAAATTAAAGTTTGCTCTGCTCATTTCCCCTGAAAAATATAAAAATTTATCCGCCCACACCCCATTAATTAAAAAATTTTATGTTGAAAATAATAAATTATTTTAAGACAACCATGTCCCTCCTAAGTATGCATGGGCGGGCAGGCAAAAAACCCGCCCAATGCCGACCTTTAATGAGGGTCATCCTTAGTTATATCTCAGGATTTTTAACTTGCCGAAATTGAGCATTCAAACTAGTATGGCTAGCTACACATTTAAAAAAAACTGTGTTTATGAAAAATAATATTTTTAAATGATTTTTTTTATACCACAGCCCATTTCTTAGACGCTTTGGTTCATTCGCATCCAGTCTCCCACGCCAAGGTAGAAAGTCCTTCCGATATGCAAGCAATGTTCGACGCCATCTCTTACAACAAGGGTTCTCTCCTGCTCAGGATGTTGGACGGAATCATATTGGACAAGGAAGTCTTTAGAATGGGTAAGTAAAAGATCAACATAAAGTATAGAAGTCGAAGATAGGTGGAACTTACGTTAAATAATACATACAAATCATTCTTTATTATTGCCGAGTAAAGAAATTATTGTTTTCTTTTATACAAGGTCTGCAAAAGTACCTAAAGGATCACCAATATGGCAATGCGCAATCCATCGACTTATGGCGTGGTCTTCAACAAGCATTTCTATCAAAATCCGTTAAGCCAAACAGCTCGGATCATAGCCTGATATGGGCTATCCATGATGAGGGCATTAGTAGCAAAAGCGATGACATCGACATAGCCTTTATAATGAACGGCTGGGTAACTCAAGTAAGTTTATGTCGCTCTTTCGATTTTTAAAAACTCAAAAACGGTGAGAGATATAACAGTATCACAAATTGATTATTAGTAATATCCATTTTCTTCATTTACCATGTAGTTTTTGCATATTTTTTATATGTATTTTACTCACATTTATCTGATAGAAAGGCTATCCCTTGATTACCGTCTCAGACCCTGTCCCATTACCCGATATGGATGGCACTTACACCATAGACATTTACCAAACCAAATTCGGTTTTAAATACGGCGAAGAACCCATTAAACTCGCTAATTCTATTAGTTGGCAAGTTCCTTTCACCCTTCTGATTCCATCAAAAAATCTTGAAAGTGGGTTATATATTTATCAAAATTTGATATTAAAATATTATTCTTCGAATAAACTATTGTTGTTATGCATGCAATAAACAGTTTGCTAGAAAAGGCCAACATTCATTATATTTAATATTATCAGAATTTAAATCTTTAAATAATCTATATTTATAAATTCGATGAATAAATAAAACAATTGCACAACCAGCAAGCCCAGCTACTTTGAAATATATTAATACGACCATTTGGCTCAAGAACCAAAATATATCTCACCCTCTTACCAACTCCCTCAAACCCGATTGGTTGAAGGGCAATTTGGAATACGCGGGCTATTACTACGTGACATACGGGCCCAAAATTTGGGAAAATTTAGTCCAGGATTTAAAGTCGAATGCTGATATCATGTCGTCGCTTGATAGGACCCAACTCATAATCAACACCTTTTCCCTGGCTCGGTAAGTATTTTATGAAATGCAACTGTTATATTTTCTGTTTATTATTCGTTTTAAAGTAATGTATTACGAAATAGGATATAATATATTTTTTTTCACATATTGAAAAATCGTGAAATGACCTCATTATATTTTACTTTGATCCAAATTAATATTAGTTACTTCTTTTCCTTTGGTAATTAGTTATTCTAAAAATGACTTAATATAAGTAAATATCACATTTCTAGGATACTGGCTTAAAATCGTGAATACTTCTATTTAAATTACCTAGATACAATTTTTTTTAGTTTTTATAAAAATTATATTATAAATTGAATTATAAACTTAAAACCCATAATTTATTTCTTTTAATATTAATTTTAAGGTCGGAGATAAAGAAGAGGATCAAGATTTTATGTTTCCTCTTTATTTTTATTAAAATCAGCAACGTTCATATTAAAAATAAGACTGAAGAAATATTTTTGAAGAAGATGATGTAGAACTAGAAGATATAGATTTCAGATCTACCGCGAGTTGAATTTAAGAGTTCTGGAAGAGTCTCTACTTTATGTCTTTTAGTAGTGTTGTTAAACGGCTTGTTTTGAGCCGATTTTTAAAAATGGCTAATTCAATATTTTATCCAGAAATATTACACAAGCCTGTAGATTTTACCCATAGAAGGAACAAATGTTTTGACATATTATCAAAATCTCGAGGCTTAAGCAATATTTTTCTGGTTAAAATATTTAGTTAACCGTTTTGAAAAATCGGCTCAAAACGAGCCGTTTAACAACACTATCATTTAGATAGAAGACTCTTCAAAGTATCTTCCAAAATCGTTAATTAAGTAAATGCCCAATAAATTATTTGAAATTGTTTCATATATTAAATAATATGTTATAAAAATATTCTGTTGTCTGTGATATAATTTATAAATAATTATACGTGAAAATTTTTCGATACGATATAATTATCTATAAATTTTTTAGAAAATGGTTAAAAAATATTGTTATCGGTACTATAAAAATATATTTTTAAAATGTATTCGTCATTGTACTTATAATAACATTTTTTGAAGAAAAAAAAATTGTGGGTATTTAGTATTTTATATTTTAAATTAACCTTTTTATAACATATTTGTATTTATAATAAAAATTTACCCAACTCAGTCTTCTATGTAAATTTTTTAATACCAAATATTGATAATAAAACGAGACGAGAATATAAAGAAACCGACGCTTAACCAAAATTTATAAAAGCATAACCTGTTCCATATTTACTCCGTAAAAATGGAAAGAATTGGAAGCCATCTATAAACCATGTTGATTCAGTGCATGCGGCTTCCTCACTAGTATCGGTTTAAAAAATCAGATGGCTCAATACGCTTATTTACAGATTATTAAAATAACAATAAATTTATGGGCTTCGCACAGAATGTTATTGAATATTTACAACCAATGGTAACTTCATGATTAACTCAAAGGATGCTTACACTCAATTTCAATAAAAAGAATTAGAACACTAAATTCAAAGATCAATGGATATGATTATTTCTAGAAAATCCATGACTTATTATTTATTAATGTCCGATTAAACATTGATATTTGGTATAATAAATTTATATATATTAATTGCCTCTCATCGAGCACATAAATCATTCAATCCATGCTGATGTGCCATCCACTATGGTTATCTTCAATTTTAAAACTAGCACCAGAATAAAATTTATATGGGACGCATCAGTCAATCAAAGTCTTCGAGAAATAAAATTAGCTATTCTGATATCCTTATGTGTCCTATGGCAATTTAACACCGCGCTATCCTATGACACGTCCGATACATGATATGCTCAGAGTTAGGTTTGAATACATTTGAAGTTTGAACAGAAAATACGCAATCTAGACCATTCACAAAGCTTAAGTTATTTATTGTTCCAAAAATGGTTCTAGCTTTATTATTCACCGATAATAATTTAAATGACTCTTAGTCCCCTTTTGAATTTCTTTAAATGCATTCATAATTATAATAAGTATATTTTATTATGGGTAGATTCGGTCATATTTCGTTCACCCAAGCTTTCGACTTCGTGATCTACATAAATCCTAAACCGTTTTCCGCTACCTTTATCAACAAATTACACATAGGTTAAAATAACTAACTAAAATTTATTAATCAATACATCTCGCTAAAAATATAAGTGACGAGCGCTCCAAGGCATCCAAAAAAACGAATAAAATCGAGAAATTTGGTTATTCCTATTTATAAAATTTTTGCTGCGAATAACTTCAACAGGTTAATCATATGCATTCACCTCGAGCATCTTAATATTTAATATTGGTAACTTTTTAGAAGATCATTTTAAAGTCCCTTAGAGTCATCATGATCTTTATATTAAATAAATGTGTTTACATTTAGAGAAAGTAAACATCCTACGTTATAGCTCTTGAACTTTCCCGATAGAACACGAGACGGAGCTTTAAATTTTATCGATATGATTTTTTTAAAGGTACCCTAAACGAGAAATCCGAAATCCCATTGATGACCATAATTGAAACGCTTTCAACAATAAGAAGTTATTTCGGGTACTATTTTGACTCGGAGAGTAAAGTTGTTTACCAGAAGCTATTACCTGCCTTCATCTATAAACTCTTGTTGAACGAATTGCTAGATAAATTTGATGTCTGGAAAAATGGCGAAAATCTTTCCCACTTACAAATGTATAAATTATCTTCTATTTTTTAAAAATAATATATATTATTTGAAAGCAAGGAAGGAACTTATCATAAACTTACTCAACTAATTAATTTAAGTCAATAATGATATAAATAAAAAAAATTCAACGAGACCCAATAGAATTTAGGGAAGTTTGAGACTTCGTGACCTATCGTTTATAACGGTTGGGTCACTCATAAATGGGTGATATGAGGGCATCAAAACAAGATGGGTACTTAATAAATTATTTAAATGGAAGCTCTTTTAAAGAAAAGGGAACTTCAATGTAGTAAAATATTCCTGAGCATACATTGTATTAAAGTAATGACCAAAAATGAATTGGTTAGGAGTTGAATGTATTTTTAATATAGTAACTTAGATTTGATATTTGTGTTTGTTATATTTGAATATCGTATATATTCAAAAGGTTACGTTATATATTTTTTCAAAGTGACGTCAGTTTGAGGAATATTTTTTTTTGTGTCTATAGTCGTCAATAGAAAATTTTGAGGATATTTTATGTGTATATAGTCGTCAATAGCCCATTTATCTCATTCATCTTTTATCCATAATTTTTAAACAAATCTATTATTATTTTATTTTATTATTTTTTTATAAACAGAATTTTTTTTTTTATAATTTTATATAACATTTAACTTGACCGAGGACCGAAAACCGCGCGACTTTTTTTTACCTCGTCGCCAAATATTAAATCGATTATGTTTTAAAAACAATAATGAATTTTATTTGTAATCTTTTGTATATATTGTTGTATTTATTCATTTTTTTTAAAATAATTAATTCCTTTTTTTATTAATTTGTTTTATATTGTTATGTAATTACTTTTTTGAATATTATAATTAGTTATTATTGTGGTGTTTATTCATTTTTTTAAATAATGAATTCCTTTTTTTTTATATTTTGAATATTATAATTAGTTATTATTATTATTATATAATAATTCTAGTTGGGCATTGTTAGTATATGTTAAAATTATTAATTTCTTTCGTTATTCAAATTTTTTTTGGTTAAAAAAAATGTTATTTGAATATTAAAAAGAAAAAAGATATATATACGAAACAAAATCATTTTAAAATATCATTCACCAATTATTATTCAATTAATTCTATTTCAAAATAAAGTTAACCGTACTTCTAAATACAAAAATGGTTTGATGTTATATATATTTTAATATTTAATCTTCCTTTTTTTTATGATAATCAACTTCAAAATCTAACATATACATACATTTATATAATTATCCAATTTAACTTCTAATAATATGCAATTTGATTAACCTCGATAATATAATATTACATGTCGGAAAGTTATAATAATATAATACACAAGTAACGTCCTTTTAAAATATATAACGTAAATTTTTGAATACGATATTCAAATATAACAGTGTTATATTACGTTCGGTAAATAAATCGTATTCTGATTTTAGAATGAACCCGATATTATTTTTTTTTAAATCTTTTTACTTTTTATTTATACCCCCCAATAAATTAAAATATTCACTTTTCACCCCCCCCTCCTCCCTACTATATCATCATAGTGACCTTTTAAGAATAATTTATAATCAATGATTTAATTTGTAGCATGGTAAGGTTAAAATTAGGGGTGTACCGATACCACTTTTTGGAGGCCGACCCGACCCGATATTCCAGATATTAAATTGATATCGGCCGATAACCGATCCGATATCATATCTAATTTTGTATTCTGTAAAGATACCAATGGTTTTAATTTGTAATATACTTTTTATTAGTATAACATCTATAATTTAATTATACTATGACTTATGTCATTTAAATATATTATAATGATCAGTTATAGTTTATATTCAATTCTATTGCCTAAAAGTATATAAAATATTTTTATTATAAATCACTTTTATATAATAAGTAACAAAATTAATCTATATACATAATAAGTAATAAACAAATATTATGAAATTTAAATAAATATTTAAAATAATATTTAACATTAATATATCGAAGATTTCTTTTTAGAAATATCAAAATTTCCAATTTATCAGAAATTAGCCTGCGGCGATGGTAACTGTCAATATCACCAGCTTCACTAAAAACAGATTCTGAAGAGATTGCACAATTTTAAAAGCAGAATGCGCAAAAAAAACAATATGGCAGAATGTTTATTAATTAATTATTATTATTAAAAAAATATGGATTTCGATTTTATTTATAAAAATAAATGATTTTAGATATAATTTTTTTTTTTAAATTTATAACATTTTATTTTTGTTAAGGACGCCATTTTATATCGGATCGGCAAATTTTATAATATTGGCCGATAACCGATATTTTATAATAGGTGAAATATCGGTCCGATCCGATCCGATAAAAAATATCTGTACATCCCTAGTTAAAATTATTTTAAAAAATCAGATTAATATTGCCATATTGATAGAATAATTATGATTAAATAAATATTTATATATTAAACGAAGATACTTGCAAGGGAAAGTAATAAATATGGCAGTTAGTCTTGGTCACAAGCCTACTATACTGAAAGCCAGACCATATTTCGAACAATGGATACATCAGCATTCTAACTCTAAGACGCATTTGGTAAATTTAAAATTTACACGCTTTTATTAATTTTTCTTTTTTAAAAAATGAATAAATAATACTGTAATACTTTCAATTTGATTATATATAAAAAAAATTTGAATGAGAAAATATATTCATCGATTGAATTATACCAGTACTTGACACAACTACATTTAACACATTCATTTATATAAATATCTTATATAGCCATTCCCCGACCTTTCTTCCGCCATTTTGAGATCTGGGATTGAGCACGGAACCGTTAAGGATTGGGAATTGGCCTGGAAAGCTTACAAGGCTTCTAACGTTCCTTCCGAAAAAATTGAAATACTATACGCGCTCGCTTATACTTCGGATGAGAAACTTCTAGAGAGGTTATATAGGGAAACTTGGGTGTGTCAATAAACAAGGAAAGATGGGAAGGAAATAGATTTAAATTATATTTTTAAAAATATTGGGCTTTAAATCCACCACGTCGTAAGAAAAAAATTTCTATGTGAACTAATTTTTTAAGAAGGTTAAACTTGGAACCGAAGTTTTTAATTTTTAAAATAAATTATTTTTATTTATAATATAGGCTACTCTCTTTAGTGCTTGCCGGTCTTAACCCCCCTATATCTCCTTCCGGCGATTTGATAAGGGCCCAAGATGCTACCGGTATTTTATCACGAATTTCAGCCTGGTCCCCTATAATGTTGGCACGTACACGAGTTTGGACGCTTTTGCGAAGGCACTGGGACGAGTTCTCGCACGCTTTCGGGGATTCTACTTCGTCCCTAGACGGGCTTGTCAAGGGAGTTTGCAAAAGTTGAACTTACTTTTAACCTTATTTTTAATATGGGGAGGGGGGGGAGAGGCATATTTAACGTTAATTTGAGGTTTTTATAATTAAAAAATTGAATTAAGCCAAAAGATCTTAATATTTTAGTCAAAATTACAAAAATAACGCAAACGATGACGTGCTTTATATAAGCTAAGAACCAAAAGGATAAATGAATCTTATACGGAAGACTTGGTTATACTAGTTAGGAATGAGGAAAAAAAAATAAGAAAAAGAGGTTATAAAATATCCAATTAAGAGAAAGCGGAGAAATGAAAGTAGGAACTAATGATATTATTTTAACCTTCAATGTTAACAGGTAAATTTGGTGAGTTTTCTGGCTTTGAGAAAGGAGTTTGAATTTAATATAAATTTGGGGAGTTAAGGGCAATGAGAAAACATCATAATGTATAGCATCGAGTGCAGAAATTATCATCAACATAAAAGAATATAAAGTGAAGTACAAATTAAGGCATGAATTTAAGGGAGAAATAAAATATGAAATACAGGTTTCGACAGTCCAGCGTTGCTGGTCGAATTTAATGCTTTTTTCCGCGATACCAAGAAAGCCGCAGACGCGGTCGGCCAAGACAGACTCGGACAGCTAAGGGAAATTATAGTACTCAATATCGCTTTCGCCGAAAAACAAGCCCCTGGCATTGTCAAATGGTTGAAGGAAAAGAATCTATCCTAAATTTTTTTATATACACTTAAACTCACATAAAATGTTTGCAAATATATTATATGAATTATTTTCTTTTATGCTTTCATTAAATTAACTTTATCGGCTGACACTGAAGATTAGAAAACTATACTAAACGAGTGTCTCATCTAACATACAAAATGTTTTTCTAAATATAATATATTTCTCATTTCTTCCTTATTTTTTTGCGTTTTTTTAGAGATGTCTAATATAAAAATCCCCACCCCCCCCCCCCTTCCCCAACTGCATAACAATTGTAATAATATTTCTTTGCATTATTTTCTCTTATGATGTGTCCGAATTATTTATGAACAAATCAGAGAAAATTTTGCATTCTATTAAATAAAAGTGGATTTACTTCAACTGGGTAATTTTATTTTTTTGTTTTTCTTTATTTTTACAAGAGAAAAAATGGTATTAGATTAAACATTGTCCTCATTCATTTATTTATATTGCTTCTTCTTACCACAATATTTTGATAAAAATCGGTATTTCTAAACCTCAAAAAAACTTATAAATCGATATTCTCTCTTATATAACACATATTCTTTTGTGAAACTCAAAATAACAATCATTTTTTTTTAAAAAAGGACCAAAAAGTCATTATTTTGTAAATTTAATCATAAATTAATGTTGAAGTTGGATTGTGTATTGTAATCATTCCTTCCTTATAAATATTTCCTTTATAATCGTTAATCCTATTTTTTTATTATTTTTTATATCCTTGTTAACTTATATGAATAATTTTATAAATACAATTTTTTCCTTCTTAAATTTGTAACCCTTTTTTTCTTCTTAAATTTGTAACCCTTTTTTTCTTTCGTTATTTAACAAAATTTTAATAACTTTTAAAGCGGTCCTTGTTCCGTCCAACGATAAATTGTTCAATAATTTGTAAATTTAAATTTATTTAATATATTATCTATTTTGTATTAAATTTGTAAAACATTTATATTTAAGAAATTACCCGTTGCGAAGCTGAGATAAAAATAATAAATATTGAAATTGTAGTAGATCTATTTGCCAGTTTGGTATCGGTAAAATCAACGACATGGCGTCATTTTCCAGAGAATCGCATTGGTTAGCGTTGTTAGCTATAATCGCGCATGTCTAAACTCTAAAAAATAGCGATTGCAAAAAAAATTAAGTAAAATTCAAAGCATCCGTTTTTTGATGCTTAATCTCAACGAAATTTGATTCCTGTTCTGCTCGGATTCGAAAAAAAAATTTATTTAGCCGACCCGATTTGGCCAGGCCCAGATTAGTTTTTATTTTTGGCCTGAACCAAAATTATATTTTAATTTTTGTTGTATCTCGTTAATTATTTCAACTATAAATTGAAAATATGAGCGATAAAATAATATTAAAAGTTCTTTATATGATTTTCTAATTCATGCAAATAAAAAAAAAATATTTAAATTTACATGTCTCGGATGTATATAAAATTTCAAGTCCAGACAAATCATATCTTTAGCCCTTTTTCGGCAGGGCCGAATCAGTATCCTTTTTTATTTGAAAGCGATTGCCTAACCTACTAATTATATTATTTATACATCAAATCAGTGATTTAACGATGAAAGCAATTTTTAGAAATCTATATATAAGTTAGTTTCAAATTTGTTGTTAAGTAACGTCGTTACCTTTTTAGAAGAAAAAGAACTCCATTAGGTCATTTGCGCATATTTCTTATAAACATAATTTAACCTGCCCTGCCCTCAATATGAAACTTTTTTTGCACTAATAAAGAAAATTAAGGGCACGAAGTCTATATGTAAAATTGTGTCTTAACTCAAATATTTCCTCAATTGTGAAATAAACACAAACAGTCTCCAAACTGTGCAGTCAGTTTTAAGAAAAAATGGGATTGGAACTCTATAACTCATTGAAATCTTCTTATGGAGAATGACCAATTTGACGAATCTTGTGGTAAATCCGAATTACAGAGATTTTCAGATAATGACAAGCCATTCACCGAATATTGTACTTATTAATGTTAATTAAAAAATATGATTTTATATGTTATGGCACCTGTTGCTATGGCTCTTTCGATTAGAACATTTAGTATATCTCACTCCCACAATAACTAATATTAAAACTTTAAAAAAAAATTTTTAGGCCTGGCCCGGGTATATTTAAAAAAATTAAAATATGGCCCAGCCCATGTAATTTTAAAAAAATAATGAACTCTGAACTAGTGATTTGCATAGGGGTAATTTTTCAAGCCTGGCTAGGCCCGAAATTTTTTTACCTTTCCCAAATAAAATTTTTGTACTTATATAAATATAGAAATTTTAAAATATTAGCACCTTGTTTCTCGCATAAATTTTCAAATATATCAATTTATTTGACAAAATGTAGTGATATCACATTTAAAATTTTAAGCCCGGTCAGAAGTTTTTTAAAAAGTACAAGGCCCAAACCGAAATTATTTTTTATAAATAGACCCGGGCTGATACATATTTCTACCCTGAATTATAAAAAAAGGCTTAGTTTGGGTTCAATAAACATCGAGGGTTCACAGCCCTGATATTTCCAATTAAAAATAGAAAAGTTCAAACATCGTGTGAAAAGCATACGGTTATTTAAAACTTTTTACTAAACATTTTATGAAAAAATTTGATTTATTAATATTTAAAAAAAAGCAATTTATCGCTTAGATATTATAATATAAGTATTATAAAAATATAATGTACCTATTCTAAACATTAATCTCCTTTCTCAAATTTTAATAAGTTAATGCTTGAAAAAAATTTATTTTTACTATACATTTTATGAAAAAATTTGATTTATAAATATTAAAAAAAAAGCAATTTATCGTTTAGATATTAATATAAAAGTATTATAAATATAATATACCTATTCTAAACATTAAACTCCTTTCTCAAATTTTAATAAGTTAATGCTTGAAAAAAATTTCGGAAGATTATATATAATTATAAAATTATATTCTGTCGCGCGCTAACCATTGGGTTTTAGCTTGATTTATCCCAAATAAAAGATTGGCAGCTTGAATAAAAATAATAAATAAATTTTACGAGGTCCCACCGAGATTCGAACTCGGATTGCTGGATTCAGAGTCCAAAGTGCTAACCATTACACCATGGGACCAATAAAACTAAATTTAAAAATCACGAATTATATAACATCAAAAAGCAATTAAGCAAAATAGAAATTTCTATGACTTTCATTTTTATTAAATATTTAGGGAATTTCTAAAAAAAACACTGGTGTTTGGAATACGCTTTAAAGATGGCAAGCGATAGACATGGACATAGAATATAAGAACCTTAATTGACATTATTATATATACATTAAAGTGCTAACAAGAAAATTCACCTAAAAAATTTAAATAATTGGTCAGGCTACTTGTGCTAAAAATCTTAATGGGAGGCTTTGCAGATCTCTGATTCAGGAGCCAAAAAGTCGTTAAAGAAAGGCTAAAGCTGCAATATTAAAAATTATGCTGCAATATTAAAAATTATGTATTAATTTTTTTATCCTGTGGCTTATTGTAACCAGAATTTAAAATAAAAGTTTATAAGATTAAAATATCAATATTCACCTATAACATAGATAATTTAATGTTTATTACAAAATATAGAAATGGATAGGAATTATTTTCCACTAAATTTTTTAAAACTTTTCACATTTTTTAAATTCAGAATATGTTTCAATTAGATAAAAATAGAAATAATTTTACACTAATATTTAATTGATCAGGTTACCACCAACTCAGCTTACAAGACTAAGGCTATAAAAGATATAAGAATTTAAAGTCATGATTAATTTTATTCTTAGGATATTTATGACCAAAAAATATATTAATAAAAGCTAGTAATAAATACATTTTAAATTCACTTACTAAAGTAAAAACAAATTTATATCTTTACCTATTAGCATCTGTACTAATGAAAGTGATCACACCAACCAAATATTTATGTTAGATTCCTATGTACAGATTTCAGAAATGTGGATTGCCTAAAAGATTGAGGTCTGGACTAACCCAGAACTAATAACATACTTACTTTAAAAATTGTGAATTTTTAGTAAATATTGTTATCTTTTGTATTGAATATTTTATGTAAAAATTTTAATTATTAAATTTAGAGTTCTTAGGCAACCAGTTGTTTTTGTCAAGACAAAGATGCTTATGTCAGATAAAAAGAAATAGATTATATTTAAAATGGAAGCTGAAACTAATTATGAGTTTACATCATTCCTACCAAGATTTCCAAAGATGAAAAAAATTGAGACAATGTAAAATAATTCTAAATTCAATGAATGGATTATAGACTGCTAAAATAAATATTTAAATGCAAACAATTATTTAGAGGATATTTATACAAAAACTAGAGCAACAATAGTTAAAAATTTGAGCCTCCATCTACAAAATTTAATTAAAGGTATTTAGAGAATGATATATCAGGTAAAGGACACATTACTGAAGAAATATTTGGTGTTAAAAATGTTCCTTAAAATAGAAGTGTATGATTTGATGTCCTAAACACACTAATAAATTCATATCAAAATGAATTATGAATTGATTATTTTATTTCTCAACCATTATGTCCTGCTCATTTTTTTAAATAACATTTACTCAATTTTAAAAAATTAATATTTGAGGAAACAAGATAACTGATTTTTGTTTTAAAAAATAATCTATATATATTATATAAATAAAAAAATATTGGGAACCATAGTGATAATTTAGGCATTTCCGTTTTGATGTAAAGCATCTATAATGGGCACCAAAATTTACTCATAAGGATATACTTGTAATATCATTTTCTCAGATAAAATTTATCTGATTTTTAACCATGGAATCAAGTTTTTATGTTTATAAAATAGCTTATTTATTTATATTAGTTTGTTAATATAATTTCTTGATGTTTTGGGCACAGATTTTGTCATTCACTTTAAAATTTAAATTTTCTTTTATAACTCAAATTTATCAAGAAAAAATTCAGAAAATTTAACAGATTTGAAAAAAAACAATATTGATAAATCCACTTCTTAATTATTATTATACATAAGTATATGACATCATTTTTATTTACATATATCTTATAATAAATGAGAATTATGTCATCATGTTATTTCTATCAAGTTTGTAGCACATGACTTATGTGAAATAAATGAGTGTGAATTAAGGGTTAATATTTGTTGACTTTTAAAATGGTTACCTTAATTTTATCCAGTTACAAACCTTAAAATTTTGCTGATAATGGCACAAAGATTTGGACATTTATTGGTGAAATCTGGAGATTTAGAAAATCTTTTTTTGACTAAAAAAATGAGTAAAACCTTTTTAAAAATTGAGTATAATTCAGTCATTTAAGAACACTATGATTTATCTTATACAAGAATAAATTATCTAAATATGATTATATATCTTTTAAAATTACATACCTTGTTTGTCAATGACATAATTAGTAAAGAGGAAAGAAAATTTTAATTTTTTAAATGTAGAATTACTTGTTGCTTATATAAAAAAGTATGGTTACCAACTTCATCATTGAGGATATATTTGTTGATAATTAGTTTTTAAACAAAAATTTTCAAAAAAAGTAGTTGTTTTAAATACTATAATAATAAACAAAAATTAATAGTAAAATAATATTTATTAATAAACAATGATCAGTAATATCCATATTCTATATAGATAAAATGAAATATAAATAATTTCTTTCAAGTTATCTTTAAAATCTTAATTTGGTGAAGAACCATTTATTTTTGCCAGTTTTGTATCTATGAAAAAAAAGTTTAACAATTAAATTATTATTTAACCTCTCTTCCAATTTTTTTTTGCTATCACTGAGAGCTTTCTTTTTCATGGCTGGATCATTTAAGGAACTTTTATTAACTAAATTTTTGCTAATAGGCAAATCAACAGAATATCTTAATAAATTTACATTATAATAATGATATTACTATTTAAACCTCGTTGGTAACAAATGATTATAATTTATAATTTTTATAAATGGTTTAATCTTATTCCTTCTAATTATCCTTTTCTTTCCCATTCTTCTAGTGATTTTTTTAGGATATTTTTCAATACCAAGCACAAGAGCATGGGGATGAGGTTTGTCTTGAGTTGGTTCATCAAAATTCTAATAATATATTTATTCACAATAAAATATCTATCTATACTTTAACAACTATAGCTTTCTTACCCGCATAACGACCACCCAACAGTAGAACTACCTTACCAGGTTTCATAATCTTCCCCATTTCTAATATTTTATTTTGATATATTGACGATTTTCACGCTAGAGATTTATCGGAAACAGATGTGATTTATAATTTTATTTTTAAAAATTTTAATTTTTTAATTATATATTACATACAAAAATATTATAAATTACTAAATAATAAAAACATTTTAACAATATTTATATATTAATAAGAATCGAGATATTTGTAATAACCATTGTTCATAAATTTAGATATACACTATTAATTCCTTCATAAAATTAAAAAATAGTAGGGGAATATATAATCAATTAATTTGTGTATTTATATATTATATAGCCATTCCCAAATAATAAAGTTTATTTATTTTTGCTTTGTATTTTTTATATAAAAAATAAAACATTCACAATAATATAACTATATTTTATTTTAATTAATCAATTTGTTTTAGAGCCGTATAATATGTTCCTATGGATTGAACAGTTATAAAAAAATTCACAATATTTTTTTCTATTTTTCTCATGTTAAAGTTTATCTTAGACATGATAATAGTATACTCTAGTTTATTTATTCTTATGTAAGTTGTAGTAAAAATAACAAGTATGCCCATGAATTATAGTATAATTTTAAATTAATAATTTTACTCATTCCTCAGGAAAATTTAAACTGAATTAGCGCGATATAATGTTCCTTAGTTTCGAATTTCAAAATGACGTCATCTTTTGAGCTAATCTAGAAAATTCAAAGGTAAAATTATCAGGATTATTATTTGTATCAATGAATATAATATATATTATTTTATAGTTATTTCTTGATAAAAAAATATAATATGCTAAAATATAAGAAAATTAATTCAAATTTTTTGGAAGAAGCGCATTATGTCTTTTACCACTGTAAAAATTTGCAAAACGGCCCAATTAAGATTTTAACTAAACTCATAATATGTAAGCATCGATATTTGGCAAATAGATGTCCAATCATTTCTGCCAGCTATGTGCAAAATCTTTAGACTTACATAATGTTATTTTGATTATAATATTGATAGGGGCAGGTTTTAAAAATCTACATTATTTCCATATTTTTATATCATTGATCTAAATTCCTCTATTGCACCTTGTAAACCTGAGGCAACGTCTTAAATATTTTGCTATAAATATTGTTATAATTGATTTTACGATCTAACGCGCATTGTATATTCTAAGTAACATATATATTTTATAATAAAGACGTCAATCATGAACATAACATTATTTTTCTATCAAATATTATACATTTATTTTTCGCTTTTTATAAAATGGCTACCTTGAAAATTTAAATTTATTTATCGTATTTTGATTCGTTATAAATCATTTAAATTCTAGTGGAATTCTATAAATATTTTTAAATCTAGTAAAAATAATATCATTTTATATAATTATTATATTTTTATAAATTTTAACATAACAATACATTTTTTATTTCTGATAATATGGTATGTTAACTGAGGTTAACATTGCCCATTTAGACGATTTTTTTTATAATAAAATATTTATTGAAAATATTATCAAATAAATTTATAGCTCAATGACTAGTGATATAAATTATAGAATACCGGTAGATAGTGAGGATTCTCAATTGAGTGATTCGTCTGATGAAGAATATTTACCATGTGATACTGGTAAATTTAGTATTTCTTATGCTATAATAAATATTTTTAGGGGCAATTGAATCAGATTATTCGGATATTGAAAGCAATGACTCTGACTCAAGCCATCCTGATGATGAATTGTCAGGACGACGAAATATATGGAAATCCTCTTTAACTAATGTCCCACGAGTAGCCCCAGATTGGAAAGGCAGTTTACCCTTCGCCAATAAAGTTAAAAATCCGATATACTACTTCAAATTTTTACTGGGAAATATACTTCCTACAATAGTTCAACAATCAAATCTATATTCTATTCAAAAAGATATAAGCAGACCCCTTAATTTATTGTTAGATGAATTAGAACAATTCATAGGTATTTTGTTCTATATGAGCATTATAAATCTACCAAGAGCTCGTTTATATTGGACGGCTAATACTAGAATCGCTAATGTAGCTAACATTATGTCAGTAAAAAGGTGGGAGTTCATAAAATCATGTTTTCACATAAATGACAACACGAAAGCATGTCCTTTTGGGACTGATGGGTATGATGCTCTTCATAAAATACGACCTATGCTGACGATCACAACAAATATTTTAAAAGATATTACACTAGGAGAAAATCTATGCGTCGATGAGCAAGTTGTTCCTTTCAAGGGACAAAGTAAGATGAAACAATACAACCCCCAAAAGCCTAAAAAGTGGGGTTTTAAATTCTTTTTATTATGTGGAAATGATGGTATTGTTTATAATTATGAAATGTATATGGGGAAGATTCTCCAAGCCGAAGGTATGCCAGATATAGGAGCTTGTGGGAATTCAGTTCTGCGCATGGTTGTCGCAGTTCCATTGAATCAAAATTATAAGTTATACTTTGACAATTGGTTCTCTAGCATAAACTTACTGGTTATATTAGCGCAAAGGGGAATACAATGTGTATCAACGGTTAGGGCAAATCGCCTCAAAAATTGTGTTTTGCCGACAGATCAAGAGATCAAAAAAAAAGGAAGAGGAAGTTTTGTTGAAAAAAAAACGGTGATCAATGGAGTAGAATTATCTGTAATCAAATGGTTTGACAATCGTTCAGTTTATCTAATGAGCAGCTTTATAGGGGCCCACCCGATATCTGACGTGAAACGATTCGATAGAAAAAAAAAGGAAAGCATTAACGTAAAATGTCCAGCCATTGTTAAAAATTATAATAAAAACATGGGTGGAGTGGATCTTATAGATTCCCTACTAGCATTATATAGAATTCATATCAGGTCCCGAAAATGGTATCACCGAGTAGCCTTTCATATATTTGACATGATGCTTGTTAATTCATGGCTATTGTACCGGAGAGATTGTAACCTGTTACAAATTCCCAGGAAAGAGCAGGAGTCGCTCCTAACTTTTAAAATATCAGTTGCAGAAGTATTGTGCAAAGGAAATAAAAGCATTAATTCAGTAACGGGTAATAAACGAATATCGGTGCAATCGGAATATATAAAAAAGTGTAAAAAAGGTACAGCACAATGTTTACCAAATTCGGAAATTCGGAAAGACCAATTTGCACATTGGCCTAAGTATAATGACAAAAAGGTCAGGTGCAAATTACCAGGATGTAAGGGGATTACAAAAGTAGCTTGCGACAAATGCGGGGTATCATTATGTTTTACTCCAGCAAATAATTGTTTTACTATATTTCATAAAAACTGATTTTTTTGCATTTGTATATCATTTTTATACATTATATAATTTACATTATTAAAATAAAAATATTTTACCCTTATATGTGCGTTGTGTATTCTAGTTAACATACTGCAAAAAACTTAGAAATATTTAAAAAATTCGGGAAAAAATATCGTTTCCTTCTTTAGATATATATAGAGAGTAAAAAAATAATGAGTATTATAAATATTTCGCTTTAATTGATATAGCGTGCAATAGAGGGAGACACTACTTCACCCTTGAAAATATTTTTAAGGTAGGGTCCACAAGTTCGTATTGGCATTTAAAAAATGGTTGGACCATTATATTATTTATATTATTTTACATGTTTTCTGTATGAATGACAATTTTAGATTTAATTAATAAATGCTAAATTAAGAAATTTATGAATGGCAACTTTTCAATTCAAATAATTCCGACTGCATCCCTAACGTATATATTGAATGTTCTGACAATTTCATATGAATTAAAATAATAAATATAATTTATACCTATATTGACTGTTATGTTTATTATCTTAGCAGAGCAATTTAACGAATTTGGTAAATTTTTACTCGATTATATAAATTTATTATTAATATTAAACACATTTAATTTATTTTATCTAAATAGTAAATATGGCTTACGAAAGTAATAATATAATTTAATCTAAATATTTGATTGCAATAATGACCATTAAAATCACGTAATAAAAACAAAAAGTCCACAAGTGTTTATAAATATTTAGAATCTAATAAAATAAAAATTTAATTGTTAAACATACAATTTATTATTATTTAAGAAGATTACGTGATACGTGATAAAAGCGTTTTCGCCCTCTGGTTGTGGATACAACAGAGCTACGCTAGGTTTTCCTCAAAAATCCATCAAACTGGATAGTTAATTTAGGGGAGAAAAAAATGAGGAGCCCTTTACACGTTTGTGGGCAAGCCGCACGTACTTGTACGCGCAACAGTCCGAGAACTGTCGCTTAAACGTCTATAGGCTAATCAACAAAAGAAATGGGCAAAACAAAAGCCTATACCCATGAACTGCCAAAATAATTTAATTACTTTAAGGGTGGGTGGTGGCTAATTTTAAGTTTAACATCTAATGTAAGCCTTGATAGTTACTAACAAATAATTGAGAATGTGTTCATATCAATTGAGATTAGAATTTATTCATGAAAATAAGGAAAAGCTAAAATGGGTTTACCACAAATTGTTTAAAATAGGTGAAAATTCCAGTGAATAGGCAAAAACTAGTCAGTAATCGGTTTATGACTATCCAGCAACGAACACCACACAACAAACGGTTATTTTTTCCTTTTTCCAGAGAAACAAAATACTCTATGGAGTGATAGATAGATTATATAGCGAAAAAGGTCTTTGATAATGATAAAGATATGAGAGAAAGGAAACATTTCATTATTGTTTATGATGTCATTTTATAACATCTATAAATATGCCAGATGACCATCATTTTTTGTGGTTTTTGTGATATATTCAAAAGATCGAAATTTATTATTATGCTCGAAATTCAAAATTATAAATGCAGAATGATATTGGGTTTTAAGGATAATATTTCATCAATTTTATAAAATATTTAAACTAGCTTTAATAAACTTAGATTTATGTGAAAGCAATTTCAAGCAATTTAGTTTTTTAACTTTAAATGAAACAAGTTTTGATTATTTTTTTTAAAATAATTATTTCACCTATAATAGATAATATAATTAAACTTATTTACAATTATACAAATTCTGAAATATATGAAATTACGAAGTCTTTTTGTGTTAAT